TCAACAAGGAGACCGTCCAGAAGAGATGAAAGAGATTCTGAAGTCGTCTGGACGTCGTGATTGAAGTCAATGACGATTTTATTGAATATATTTACTCTTTAGCATTTCAAAATATTTTTGTGTAATTTTGGTAAATATATCTGTTAAAATGAAATGTCAGTGTTATTTTCATTTTGGCTTCATTTAGACGACAATTTATCAATCGCACCTTGAATATCTGTTAAAATGAGATGTCAGCGTTATTTTCATTTTTGCGTCATTTAGACGACAATCCATCTATCGCACCCTGTACATCCACTCTTGCATAGGTACATATAAACATGGTATTACTATTTATATTTACGCATTCACATATACACTATTGCATACATACAAAAAGGAGGAATACACACGCATAAGATTGTCCAGCATTCACTGACGTATATGAGGGCCGATAATGCTGGACAATCTCCTCACAGAAAACGAAGTGACTTCAGGCAATTGAAATATAGTTCTACAGAAGGATACTGAGAATATCACAGAATGAAGATGTGAGCAACAACTAAAGTTGAAGGAAAATGGAAACACAAAGGACAATTATACTTAAGACTCATAAAAAAAAATGTCAGTTGAAAACTCTGGGTCACATAATAGGTAAAGATGGCTTGGAGAATTTGACACTCACAGGGCATATCGATGTCAAGAGTGCCAGAGAAAAACAGCAAATAAACTACCTAACGAGCAGATAATAGAAGAGATAGCAAAATGACAAGCCTTACTAAAAGGTCTAGAAGTTGTGGAGAGCCATGATCACCTAAGTCATAAAAAGACAATGCACATAGAAGAAATAAAGATACATATAATGAGATTTGAATGTGCATTATTGATTATCGCCACAAGGTTGTCTTTCTTTTTTATATATACATTCATGGTAATTATTCGAATGAGCTTTTGGCTATTTTAAATTGTTATTTTATGAAACACAGACAAAAAATTGTACATATGGAGACTAGTTAAAATTTTCATAGAGACACTGAGGTATTATGGTGGGTGTTGTAAGAGTGGTAAGTAAGAATGCATTGTTTTGGTGTAAGGAATACTGTGGTATGTTTGGGTCAGTGATCGTGGCTAGTTAAGTTTAATGTGGAGACAGAATATGACCATCCTTTTTCCTCCATTCCTCATTATGGCTTTGTGCCACATTTTTGTACATAAGTAGAATAAATATCGCTCTTATGTTATAGTAGCTAGAGTTTTTGAAGTTTATGGTTGAGCTGGATAGATGTAGCCATAAATTCTATGCTAATAGTTTCTTTTCTCGCACTTTTCACTTGTGGAATTTCCTTCCGGCTCCACGCTTTCCAGCCAACTTTAATCCTCAAAAATTGAAATGCAATATCAATAGCTATCTACTGTCCTCCTGATTACTCTTTTCTCTTTCTCTTCATTACTAATGTTTATGTCCCTAATTTCTACACACACTGCAATCCCTTGCATGCTTGTGGCTGTACTGGCTTTGCTTGGGCGTCATACCGATTAAAAAAACAAAAAAACAACCAAACAAAAAACAATAGACTAAAAACAACGTAAATCAGGAAATAAACTGAATGATATATGGAAATTCAACAGTAACATGATGGGACTTAACTATCTATCGAGTACTGCACTTAAATTCATGAAGACAAGGTACCAAAGTGAAAAGCTCATTAAGAAAATATTCATGAAACTATTTTTTTAATCAATTCATTCCAAGCAAGGCGATAATGCCACTAAAACTCAACGGGGCTGCTTGGAGTGAAAGAGAATGAAAAGACTTTAGAAGTAATCGGAAACACAATCCTAACCAGTAAAAAAGGGATAAACATCTTCTCTTGTTAAAAAAAAGAAAAGAATGGGGAGGAGTGCGAACCGGACGATAGGGGAATCCATCTACTCTTATTGAGTAAAAATAAAAAATAAATAAAATTTCAGAGTTTAGGTAGAATCGTTAGAATTAGAGAGTTGAAGTAGAAAACAAGAGATAAACCTTTACTCAACTAATTTCAAGTCTTGAGTTATCTTTCCTACATGGCCCCCAGAACTTCCCTTTCTTACACTAATACAACACCACACAAATAACATTCTATCTGGAGTGGCTCTTGGGCCTTGTATTGAATTAATAAAAAATATCAAAACTTCAAACAATACAGGACGATCAAAGAATAATACGGCCAACTTACAGTGGGTAAGACAATAGTCCAAAAATATATGAAAAGAAATGGAATAAAACGGTAATTCGGAATAATACATTCAGGAAGAATAGTGAACAGTCTTTGCAAATAACTTTACTCTGTTTTATATCAGGTGTGGAACGTAAATCGATAATAACCAGGTAACCTAGAACTGTATTCCTCCTGCTGTCGTTTCAGAGAAAATCGATGTCGCTAACCTGCGAACCAAAACACACACATTCTTCGGTAGCTTTTTGGTGTTGAGAAATTTCATTTGTGTCTTGAACAAAGGAGAGCAGACTTTTCCAATGTTGCATGACTTTTTTTTTTCATCGAAATTTCCATAGAACAATTACGAAATCGTTTAAAATGCTATTACTTAACACGAGTAATGCTAATAGTAACATACGTTTCCTTATAAGGAGAAATTTGGCATTCACTGACCGAGCAGCCTTTGCTACTTTCAGATGAAATTTATAAAATCTTTCTCTTCAAAGAATTTTTCAGGAAAATAGGTTTCTCAAGTCCACTAACTGTTATTGCTCTTTCCAGTCAATATTCATTGACTGAGAAGTTAGTTCTACTTTCAGATGAAATTCATAAAATCTTTCTCTTCAAACAATTTTTCAGGAAAATAGGTTTCTCAAGTCCACTAACTGTTATTGCTCTTTCCAGTCAATATTCATTGACTGAGAAGTTAGTTCTACTTTCAGATGAAATTCATAAAATCTTTCTCTTCAAAGAATTTTTCAGGAAAATAGGTTTCTCAAGTCCACTAACTGTTATTGCTCTTTCCAGTCAATATTCATTGACTGAGAAGTTAGTTCTACTTTCAGTTGAAATTTATAAAATCTTTCTCTTCAAACTATTTTTCAGGAAAATAGGTTTCTCAAGTCCACTAACTGTTATTGCTCTTTCCAGTCAATATTCATTGACTGAGAAGTTAGTTCTACTTTCAGTTGAAATTTATAAAATCTTTCTCTTCAAACTATTTTTCAGGAAAATAGGTTTCTCAAGTCCACTAACTGTTATTGCTCTTTCCAGTCAATATTCATTGAATGAGAAGTTAGTTCTACTTTCAGTTGAAATTTATAAAACCTTTCTCTTAAAAGAATTCTTCAGGAAAATAGGTTTCTCAAGTCCACTAACTGTTATTGCTCTTTCCAGTCAGCATTCATTGACTAAACAGACCGTATTACTTTTGGTTGAAATTTCTAAAATCTTTCTCTTAAAACAATTCTTTCTCAAGTCCACTAAGTGTTATTGCTCTTTCCTTTAGTTATAGTGGTTTCCGTTTTAAAGTCTTAATATTTATGAAGCTAGCAACGAATAGTTACTGTTGGCATCATTTAGCACTTCTGTCAATTTTGCAGTTGTAGTTTGATTGCTTTTAGATAGAATGTTAATATTAACACTAATATTCGACGTGTCCCTATAAGGAAACATCCGGCATTCATTTATTGAGCAACCAGTGCCACTTCCGTTTGAAAGTGATACAATCTTTCTGTTAAGGCAATTTTTCAGTGAAGTCCAGTAGCTGTTATTGCTCTTTCCCGTAATGATGAGGTTTCCCTCTCATTCTTTTATTATTCATGGAGCTCGCAACGAACAGTTTCCGCTAGCAGAGGATTAGCAACATTTAAAATAAAAGAAATTTAAACAACTATATCACATTTCTCTCATCCTTTAACATCAATACACGGAAGGTTATTCGTGAGTATGAACGGATTTTGTTAATAATTAGCAGACATATTTGTAATTTATTCAGTCAGACATGCCTAAAAGAAAAATTGCTGCCTAAACACACAAACACACACACACACACACACATATATATATATATATATATATATATATATATATATATATATATATATATATAGGGTGTCCCAAGATAATGTACACACTCTTTAAATATTAATATTTAATAATACATTACCGTGATGTGAGAACTTATATGGATGAAAATATGCAAAACAGATGGATTGGAAGAAGAGGGACAGTTGATTACCCACCTAGATCCCCAGATTTGACACCCTTGGATTTCTTTTAGTTGAGGTGGGGTTCTAAAAGACAATTTTTACAGCAGGAAACCTGAAACAATTGCTGAAATGAGAGTAGCAATTGAAGAAGAATGTGCTCAAATACCAGAGGAAATGATACTGGACGTTTGTAGATCCATTTCTTCAAGATATGAAAAGTGTATTGAACAGAACGTCAACCATTTTGAGCACTTGATATGAACTCATCATTATATGACCATTCTGTCACTGCCCCAAGTAGCTTTTATCTTATTAAAGTTAATTTTCTGTTTTTTACTCTCAAATTCTTTAAATGTGTATTCTTTCTCTTGTATTACTCTTATTTACAAGTCAAAATACAGATTGAATAAGTTGTAACGATTCAATGAGTGTATACATTATTTTAGGACACCGTGTGTGTGTGTATATATATATATATATATATAATATATTATATTATATATAATAATTATTGATAGAACGTACTTTTTCTAATTTTTAATCGAGTTCCTCTCTTGCCCTGACCCATCGAGGCACAAGGGGTTACAGGCAGTTGAAGAGTTAGGAATAAAAATATTGCGCAGGAGTGAGAAAAAAATAAGAGTAATCAGGAGGACATTGCATTTAAATTTTTTAAAGATTAAAATTGGTTGGAAAGCATGTAACGAGAAGAGAGTACCATAAGCGAGAAAAGAAACTGTTAGCAAAGAACTTACGACTGAATCTAGCAAGTTCAACTGTAAATTGATGAGATCTTGACATCAGTCTAGCACTGCTCAGCGCTGCGCTAATGCATATTCACACATATCTACAGACTAAGATATCTTTGAAGTTGTATAATTGACAAATAAAAATTTAGTTAAATAAAAGTAAATTATTTACATTATTCGGACTATTGTCCTCATCTTTGTTGCCATATTTATTACAACGTTTCGGCCGTTGTACGATCCAGCCTTCTTCAAGTGGTTGGAATGTTGAACTGAACCCTTTATTTCGCTCACTGGGGTAGACTGTTCTAGTTCCACGTGCCATGTTTTATGGATGTCAGTTATCAGTTATCTCCTGTTAATTCTCCTCTCCAAGTTCTCCACTGCCTTAAACAGGTATTGAACTCACACTCTTTGAGTCCTGTCACTGGATCTAACTAACGCCTTTATCTACTGTGCCATGTGTCATGTTTATGGCGACAATGATGAGGACAAGGGTCCGAATAATGTAAATAGTGTACATAATACCTCATCTCAGAAATATAGACAGATACTGAAAGGCCGAAACGTTGTAATAAATATGGCGACAAAGATGAGGACAATAGTCCGAATAATGTAAATAGTGTATATAATACCTCATCTCAGAAATATAGACAGATACTGAAAGGCCGAAAGAATTGTAATAAATATGGCGACAAAGATGAGGACAATAGTCCGAATAATGTAGTGTATATAATACCTCATCTCAGAAATATAGACAGATACTGAAAGGCCGAAAGAATTGTAATAAATATGGCGACAAAGATGAGGACAATAGTCCGAATAATGTAAATAGTGTATATAATACCTCATCTCAGAAATATAGACAGATATTAAATAAAAGTGTTGTTTCCGTTATTTTGTCCAACCCTGTATATATATATATATATATATATATATATATATATATATATATATATATATATGTATTCAGACAAGTTTTGGGAAAGACCACAAACATTTTTATGAAGTTTTTCATCGTGGATTAGCTGCAGTATATCAGTGTTGAAAGAACTGTCTACAATTCGTGTTACTTCTTGTTAAGGTTCCGAGATTTTCACTGGCTTCAGTCATTATCAAGAAAGAAAGGGAGCGAATGGAATTCAATGTCCATGAAATGTGAACACCTTCAAGAGCAAGAAACTAATCTGCCAACATGAAAAAAAAAAAAAAAAGTTAACAAAATATTAAGTAGCTTATCTGTTGTGGTTAACTATATATATATATATATATATATTAAATTACAATAAACGTGCAATCAATTTACAAATACATGAATTATTCATACAAAACTAATGCAAATTTTAATGATTTAAATGGCAAGACATCCATCTTTCGTCTGACGATTCAAGGAACAGACGAAGCTTGTAGTAAAAATCAACTAATACGGCAGAAATTTATATAAACAAGGATCAATATAAATTGCATGCCGGATTTAGAGGTTTTTTTTACTATTTGAATCGTTTGCAAGATGGATGTCTTGGAATTTAAATCATTAACCTTTGCATTAGTTTTGTATGAATAATTCATGTATATATATATATATATATAATTCAAAACTTCTCTCACTAAGATTGACCTGTTAACTCTCTGAGGTAAGTAGAATATGTAAATATATGACACAAATTTACAGTGAGCCTTCTAATTTAATTCAGATGTTGGTCGACAATGTTCTACCACTACAACTACAAAAGAAAAAAGAAGATTAATAATCTTGAAATTCTTTACTTGAAAGGAAGGAAACCCATTATCTATCTATCTATCTATCTATTGAATTATTCATATGTATCTATCTATTGAATTCAGTTCATATCTATCTATCTATCTATCTATCTCCGTCCTGGGTAAGAAGTTAAACTACATCCGCGTCCTGGGTAAGACGATAAACTACGTCCAGCAGCAAGGCCTCTGATCAGGAGGTTTAGAGGAGCGTGGAACCACCTCTTAATTGCTGGTGTTCCCAGGTCCACCCTGATCCGGGGTGGTAGCATCTGTTAGGGACCCACCTATGTGCAAACAGTTAACTATTACCAGAAATACTTTTTTGAAAAAAAATATTATCAACAATACAATTTTGTGGGAAAAAATATTACCAGAAATAGATTTTTGACAAAACAAAATATTACCAGCAATAAAAAAAAATTGACGGCATTAAATAACCCATTGAGGTTGATATGCCGTAAAACAAAATAAACCAAACCAAACCAAACCAAACCAATCTATCTATCTATCTATCTATCTATCTATCTATCTATCTATCTATCTATCTATCTATCTATCTATCTATCTATCTCGATTTGTTCACATCTCTCTGTTTATTGTGGGTGAATAGGTTGTCTTTCTTAAACACGTCGACGGTAACCAAAATTTTGTAGGGGATTCACTCCCATCATAGCAACAGAAATTAGCTTCGTATTCACGGAGATAAAAGCATACTTGACAGAAAATAAAACGTACCCCCAAAATTAATAAGTTATTTAATTGTTATCATTTAATATTTAATAAGTAAATAAATTTTTATTAATATTAATATTAAATCTTTCTTAAAAATTTAAATTTGGTATAACTATATATCAATTTAATATAAGTCATTAGTATTAAACATTTTTTAGAGTATATCAAAATTATAAAATAGTATTTTTTATATTCATAATTTTTCTTTTATCTATGATTTTTATTAACTTTTATATTTGAATTTTCCTATGTACGTTTTTGAATAAGAGTTGATATGTTAAATATAGGTCATTGTTAATCTTCCACCATTTTCGTATTCTGTTTAGACTTGTCTGTCATGATTTCCTGTCTTTCCTGTTCTCTCTTTTATACCATTTCCCTTATTTGTTGTTTGTTCCTCTTCTTTCCTTTTCTTTTTCTTCTCCTTTTCTCCCTTCTTTCCTTCCTTTTTTTAATGCTTATTTTTCAAATTTCTTTAAAAAAAAAAAAATTAAAATTCATTTTCTTAACAAACGTTTTTGCATTGACAAGCCCTAGGGAGAATTTTCCTGGGGGTGAAATGACCATCTGAATGGTAGGGTTTTATTTTTATGTAATTCATATTTATATGCTCTATAATAAATATATTGAACTGTCGTTTTAATATTTTATATTATTAGGATCTATTTGAATTACTGACCCAGTGATTTTTACACACACACACACACACACACACACACACACACACACACACACACACACACACATATATATATATATATATATATATATATATATATGCGATCATTAGACAAACTGGTTTAATGCGTACATCTGTATGTATGTGTGTGAGAGTGTCATCCTAAACAAACATAGAAGAAAATTCCCCTTCCCACCACTAAACATAAACACAAGCATAAATAGATCCATTTAAAAAAAGAACCCAGTTTGTCTGATGATCGCAAAAGTGTGAGGGTCACAAACTCATATCCATACAATTAAATATGTTAGCTCTATCACTGATATGGAGCACTTTCCACTAAGTACTGCGTATATATATATATATATATATATATATATATATATATATATATATATATATATATATATATATATTAAGAAATGGACAAAGTCCGACAATTTATTTATTAAAGACATTTTTATGTTTAACGTTTTTTTATAGATACAAGTATTTAAGTAATTTATTATAAACAGAGCATTTACTTAAATACTTGTATCTATAAAAAAGAACGTTAAACATAAATATGTCTTTATATATATATATATATATATATTTATATATATATAGGGTGTATGAAAAATATTTTTACAAACTGTCGCAAAATTCGGTCCAAACAATAGGAAGGGAACGGGTTGGTCTCGTAAAATTAGGTCCAAACAATAGGACGGGAACGGGTTGGCCCGGCACCGCCTACTTCCGGAAACACTCCTCAGCTTAACGACAGCTACAATCCAGCTACAACAACTCCACAGATCTTTGCACTCAAATGTTCCAACACCGCCTCGTAGTTCGCTACACACAACTCTCTCGAGTGGTCTCCCGCCGTCACATTTATCCCAGCGAACACCAACCAATTTGTATCCGCCCAAGTTCTCCTCTCGCCAATCCTCGCGGCTACGAGATCGCGTTTCCATAAGTCCGACTCACCGTAATGGTGGTGTTTCTTTCTTCGGACCAATTACTGCCCTACACGCCAGACACAAACGAACCCTCTTATGCCGAGAACTGAGGTTAGTCTCATTTTCATGTCCACACAAACTTTGGGGCGAGTTCTACACATCAAAATAAGGACAAAAGTCCATATAAATATATGCGCGCAAATCCTTTGTTTTTGAGTTATTAAGTATAAAGAAAGTTTACGGCAGCTAGTGTTGTGTTGACATGAAGACTAGGTTAAATTTGTCATTTTCATACATTTGTGGCTAGGCTGTCTTCAATATTTAACATGTGTAGTAATAAGTTAACTGAGAAGTGTTCCTTTGAACAATGACAGAATATTCATATCGTGAGCAGACAAATATAATTTTTACATATGGCCTCGCGAATAGTAATGGATGCGAGGCTGCACGGCTGTATCAGATTGCGTTTTCAGACCGAAGGCAGCCGAGTCATCCAAGCTTTTCTGCAGTTTATCGTCGCGTTGCTGACACAGGATCGGTGGTACCACAAACTATGGATCGAGGAAGACCCGCTCGTACGCATGACTATGAAGGACACATTCTACAGGCTGCCGGAGACAGCATACGTCAGCTTGCTCTAGCATGTCATAATACCGCATGTCGGACAAGAGAAACTTTTGCATCCATACTATTTGCAACGTGTTTAGTCATCTTCAGGCATAGAAATTATTTTGTTTTTGGCAAAATACAGGTAGCATCCGAGACGAAAAAATATAATGCGAATCGAAATATGTTTTTTTCGAAATGTGTTATTGATAACAAATACAAACTTGTGAAGCGTGCAGTCACAACGCTAATGTTGAATGTACAGTCGAAAGTACTTCCGTATTTTAAGGAAGACCTAATGCAGATTATAATAACCCCCCGCACCAAAACAAGGATCATAACATTCACCTTGTGATTGGTAGGTTAATGTATCTTTAAATTGTGTTAGCGAAGGGATTTCGCCATTTTATATCATTAACTTTTACTAATTTACGTTTTATATGAATGATTCATTGTAATATAAATTGAACTGCACCACATATTTGATATATATATATATATATATATATATATATATATATATATATATATATATATATATGACATAATTTAGCTCTTTAATATATATTTTCGATTGAGCACTGTGGAATGACAAGCTAATTCTAAAAACAACAGCCACCTGCGTTAATGCAAAGCTCTTCAGTAAAATGAATGGAGCACTTCAGTTGTTTGGCGGTTCTTTACATTTGTAAAAACAATACGCTAGATTTGGCTGGCTCATTCTGTCGAGTAAAGATAGCTGAGTGGTAGAAACTCTGACTGACACCAAATCGGCTAGGTTTCAATCCTGGCTTGAGGCATTCGGATGTCTAGTTGCACTGGTGATACAGCGAATTAGTACTGTCTGCAAATCGCACACATATATATATTTTACTAATTTTCGCTCAATATAAGGCCCAAGAGCCACGCAATGTAGAGGGTTACTGTGTGAGTTTGCATTAGTGTAAGAAAGGGCCAGAAATGAAATTATTGGGGCTATGCAAGAAGATAACTGCGAACTCTATATCATTTCAAGTTCATTTTTGGACTAATCAAAGTCATTTTGGGACTAAGCAAGTTCGTAATGAAATCGCCAAGTTCAAGATAGAATAGTCAAATTAAAAATGGGACAAAATAGAAGAGTCAAATTCCAAATGGGATAGTCAAATTCAAAATGGAATAAAGCAAATTCAAAATGAAATAGTCAAATTTAAATTGGGACATAGCAAATTCAAAATGAAATAGTCAAATTCAAAATGGAAAAGGAAATTTGAATTGGGACTTAACAAGTTCAAAATGGATTAAGCAAATTCAATTGGGAATTGAGCAATCATTTTGCTAAAAAAGACTTTAAAATTAAATATTTTCATGATAAAATAATAATGTTCAACTAAACTTTACTATTGAAATGTTTTATCTTCTAGGAGCAATCAATAAATCAAGAAAATTCATGAAAGGTGTAGGTTTTTTGGATGCAAGTTTCAGCGCTTAAAATTTCTCACTGTACAGTGTAACCCGGATATAAGAGAGTTGTTGGAACCGGAGAAGAAGTCTCTTATATCCGGGTTTCTCTTATATACGGGTTTCTCTTATATCCGGGTTTGGTCTATTTTATATACATTAACACAGGCACTAATTTGGGACCGGAGAAAATCTCTCTTATATCCGGGTTTCTCTTATATCCGGGTTCTCTTATATCCGGGTTTCTCTTATATCCGGGTTCTCTTATATCCGGGTATCTTATATCCGGGTTACACTGTACCTATTTTTTTTCAAACTCTGTCTTGATATATGAATTCAGTATTTCCTTGCTGCTTTTTCTTAGGACTTTCGAGATTTGCCCTGTTGTCCACAAATTATTTCATTTTGAATAACTCTCTCTTATTCTCTCTTTTAACACTATATCACAGTCTATCAATCTCTTTCTTCTCCCTGATTGTCTTACCAATGAAAGTGCCACAAACTCTAACTTTGACAGAAATTTATCCGTTCAAGAATAGCCTCTTTGATAGTAAAATTTATGCAAAGCTGCGCTCTGGTTTTTAATTATCTGATTAACCGCCCAGTTGATTCTTTAATCCATGATATTTGTTTATTGAAACGCGGAGATAAGTTCAAAACATTTTTCCATAATGAGTCTGCTTAGAACCAATTCAAACTTGCCTATTTCATTATGAATTTGTTTCCAAATCAAACTTGCTTATTTCATTTTGAATTTGCTACGTCCTATTCTGAACTGGGCTATTTCATTATGAACTTGCTTATTCATAAAATGACTCTGATTAGTCCTAAATTGAACTGGAAATGGTATAGTTTTGAAAAGGCCAAGATTTGATTAGTGAATAACATTTCAGAGTTCAGTCAGAGACGTTAGAAGTATAGAGTTGAAGTAGACTTTAGCAGGAACCAGAACTCTAACCATAAACAAGAAACAAGGATAAACCTCTACTCCTGTTCAAAAGACTGGGGAGGAGTGTGAACCGGACGATAGGCGAACCTATTTATTTTTAATAAACCTATATAAAAGTGGACATTGAGGTCAACACCCAGTCTGTTTTCTGCTTAAACGCAATCTTCATGAAGGTTGCGTTTAAGCAGAAAACAGACTGTCGCCGCTGGGGGTCCACTTTAATATTTACATACGCTCTATCCCTGATATATACCACTTTAAGCCAGAAATCTAGTATACTCCAAAACTATATTTTTATCATATTGAGATTAGATGAACGCGCGTGTACACTTAAACTGTTTCAATGCTGATTTTCGATGCTAGTTTAAAGATTGGCGCTACACAATCTTCCTAGCCACATTTCGCCCTGTGCCCAACCAATTTCAGCTCAGGTAGTGTCTGGAAGAGTTTGGATAGACGTACAATGGGAAGCGACACCTATGTGAGCAGGTACATACGCGATCCGTGTAGATAAGTAAATAAATATATCTTTGGCAGCAATGAGAGCGGTGACGGAGGTGTGTTGAGGGGGAGGCGGTGCAGTGGCGGCGGCATTGTCTGTCTGTTTTTGACTTTTGCGAATCCCCCTTCCGGCAGAATAAACGTTTGCAAACTTAGCGACATCAGTTACAGTTTGTTTGCTTTAACAAAACACAAACTAACAACGTACGCATGCGCGCGCGCCCACAAACGATTGCACACACACGCGTACACCGGCAGGCACACACACACATACACACACCCTTCCATTCTTTTTTTTTGTTGTTTATCAATAGGAAATTATATGATTTACTTATTGTCTGTTTTCATTAAATTGTTTTTCTTTTCTCTTCGGAAGGAAAAGATAATAAAAAAGTACATTGTAAGAATGATAAGTAATGAAATTAAACACGGTGCGCGTCAATTATCATACAATGTACGTACCCTAGTCTTTTATTTACATTTTCAGGTGTGCAAATTACACACACACACACACACACACACACACACACACACACACACACACACACACACACACACACACACATATGTAATGAAATGTTTTTAAGCATTGTTATCCTAGGAGATTATCAAAGAAGCTATATTGAATAAAGAGAATTTTTTATTCGATAGCGACTGACAAAAAAAAAAAAAATAAATAAAAATAAAAAGTTGTTTTTTACAAACCAGTCGAAATCATTGATCGGACAAGACGATTGCCCCATATAAATAGCTTAATGGTTGATTCGACTGACAGATCTAAAGTCTTCATGTTCAATCAAGCCTAGATAGTCAATGAGAAATTAATTTATTCGAATCTGAGAACAAAAAAATACAGCTTAAGGATTTTCAGTTTTCTTGGAGAAGGCGTTGAAATATTTTGACAGATCGCCACATCTATCAAAGAGATGAAATTTAAACTTTTATTATTGCATTATTCCAAAGTTTTAACACACCAGCAAATAGCTATTAATGTCAACAACTGAGCATAAATAGTTATTAATTAAAAAGAAATAGTAATTAATGTATAATATTATCCATAACTACATGTACAAGAATGTCATTTTTTATAAAAGTTAAAAAATAACCATTAATACGTAAAAAATGCGTATATTGTGGAAAATTCCTTTTTCAATAATATAGCTATTTTTGCTATGTTATAATGCTTAATCAATAATAATACTGAATATATTTTTTTAAACATTAAAGTATATTTAATCACATCTGCCTAATATCTGTCGCGATCTGTAAAAACCATCATATTAAAGTTACATTTCCGTCCTAAAGTGCGATATTCTTAAAATTCATGGTTTGGCGAGACACAAGACAATTTTGAGTAAATGCCAATTTACGACAAAACAAATTTCTAATACCGTTCCAATATAAACGTGGCAAAAACTTATTCGAAAGTATGCCGACGATAAAACTATTTACTCTTGTCTTCATAGTAAGTTCGACGGGCCTGACAAAGTGAAAACTGGCAACTTCTCTCGAAAATGACCTCCAATCAGTCGTTAACTGCAGCAAGAAATAACTTGTAATTTTAACGCCTCTAAAACGAAACTGACATCCTTTAATCGCAATTTTTGCCCTCCAG